CAATAACAACACAATTTATCAACAAACTACAAATCAACAAAATTTACAATTACTAATGCTTATTAATATTCATTCTCAGTTTTATGTTCGTGCTAGGTTTCTTCCAAATGTTACAGTAATGCTTTTTTTTACCTACAAAAGCAATGGAATAGTCCAAATATGCAGTCATCACGACTATACATCAAAGGCATACCACATCTAGTGTTTTGATAATCAGTTAATCAAGTTCTTTGTGGAAATGTCTGGAGGTGTTGCAAATCCTTTCGGTAACTATCTACAAGGCGCTGGGGTTGGGTGGATCCAACTTTTTTGCATCTGCTGTAAAAATCAGCTATGCCTGCAAGCACTTGTCATACTTTCATACTTCGCTGATGTTCTGATTGATCAAATTCAACAAGCTCCAAAGTAAATAAGTAACATCTACCATTCACGTTCAGTCATCAGAGCAGACCAAGTATTATAAGGAGTAATTCTAAATTGTTTTAAAATTTGTAACAAATTTTATATTCATTCATTAGTCGTTAATAAATGCACTTTTCATATCTGTAATATTTTAGACTTTTTAATTGATCGAAAGTGTTGATGTGTTATGTTAATACTCCTGTCAATCAAAAATAGCACAGTCTACTACCTTCAAGATGGTGGACTGCAAACTCAAGATTGCAGTCTTTCAACGACAATTGTTTGTAAAATACTGACCAAAATTAAACTTATTTAGATTGCTATACTCGGCATTGAATGAATACCTATTGAGTCATTTCCCATCTCCCATTGTCACAAAGTATGTACATTCGATTTTGACTTTTAAACTATAGTAAGTTCACTGTACTGAACAAAAGATTAAATATTGGCAACTTGGAATCTCCAAGTAATGCCCACTGAAAACCAGTTTTACTGCTAGATTAATGGATTTTATAATAGTAATATAAAAAAGAATCGGTAATGCACGCACACTTGTCTTGTGTGACTTCTGCGTGCCCGAACAACTCGCTCGCTCGTGACACACTTTCATAGTACCCGTACATACCACATGGGTCTCATGGATATCTTTTCCGTTGTACAAAATTTTGAATGATTGTAAACCAAAAATAACAAGTCATTGTCAATGACACGTCCCCGTTCCGTTCATA